CACAGTGCCCCTGTCCCCTCTCCACGACCCATCTCCCTCCCAGTTGCCACGGCAAGGAGGCGGACATGAGTCCCCCAAGCCCACGAAGGCTGTCGGAAGGTGAGGGGGCAGCAGGCTTTACCAAACCTGCCCGGGGATGTTCCGTGTGTCAATCAGAACTCAGCCCATGCACACAGCCCTGCTGTACTGGGTCCTCCTGGCAAGTTGAGGGTACGCCCTCTCCGGAATCCTACACCCCAGTCCACGCTTTCTCATCTCTGCTAATGGGAAATTGTCGCGCAGCGCCCTCTGGTGGCCACACGTGGCCATGTGCCACCAAGAAAGACGTGGACGGAAAGGCTGCAGGACAACAGCCACTGGAGTCGGACTTTCTCAAGCAAGGAGCCTCGGGTCCACACCCCGCCCCTCCCCTGCCCCTCCGCCCTCAGATCCACTACGAAGGCAGATGCTAGAGCCCGGGAAAGCACCCACCAGCCCATCTCCAAGGACACTCTTTTTTTCTCCTCCACAGAGGTCCAGACAGAGCAGGGAAAGCCAAAAAAATCTGCAGAAAGATGAGACCTAGGTGATGAAGCCACATGGAGCATGAGCAGCCCCACACTCCAGACACACCCCCCCCCCCACACACACACAGCGGCCGTGTCCACTCCAAGACAACGGCAGGTGGTTAGAACAGATGCCATCCGTGTACAGTAGGACAGGAGAGCTGGACCAGGAGCTCGAAGAACAGGCTGAGGCACAGGAGTCCCTGCAGGCCTGGGGAGGGAGGACACCCCTCTTCCTCTGCCAGCCCCCTGCCTTCCCCAAGTAGGGAGCAAGTGGAACAATAGGGCCTCCAAGACCCCCTCCTTCTGTGCTCGGTGGGGAGGGGGGCTGTGCAGGGGCGTGGCTGTGGTGGGCTTCAGCTGGGAGACAGAATCAGAGACGGTGCTATTTCGGGAGCACTTCATATCCTGTTTTTCCTCCCGGGTGTTCAGGATGGGGTCCTTGCCAGGCAGCTCCCCCCTGCAAGGTTCCAGAAGGATCTCTCTCACCCATCCCATGTGCAGCCCCTCCTCCTGCAGACCCCTGCAGTGCAGGCTCCTGCTGTGGCCTCCGACCCCTGCCTGAGTGCAGCTCCCTCCCTGCCTGGCATGCCTAGGCAGGGCAGCCCCTCCACTCTGCCCACTGTGCCCGGCTTGCCCCACGCTCCCTCCCACCACAAGGCACTGCTACCTCCAGGTGCTCCCACCTGAGCCCAGGAGCTGGCTCCTGGCTGCGCAGGCCATGTGGAGAGCGAGCTAGTGGATGGAAGACCTCTCTCTCTTGTCTCATCCCCTTGCCTTTCAAGTAAAGGTGCTGGGTCCCCACTCCACGTCAGAATTCACACAATCAGATTCCCACACTGAAGGCAACTCCAGTTGTGTGTCTAGAGCCAGGGTCACCAACAGGAAATATGGTGTGCCCTGCAAGAAGTCAGGGTCTGGGGGAGACTAATGCAGTTCCCATCCGAGGTGACGTTTTCCGTCGGGGTGGAGGACGGGACAACACAGAACGGGTGCGGCTCCCACGGTGACCACAAGCTTAGCTGAGCTGTCCTTTGAGACAAGGACCTTAGCACATGGCTCGCTACTTCCCTCTGGTGGCGATGAGCTGGAAGCACATCTAGCAAGCATTCCCGCAATTGACCCAACCTGGACAAGGTGGTGAACCTGCCGGCCTGAGGCTGCAGGGAGATGAGGAAACGAGCAAAGCTGTCCGCTATGGTTGCTTGGTGACAGAAGAGCGCAATGCATTCATTCATTCATTCATTCATTCACTCACTCACTCCACCACGTACAAGGCCTTGCCTTGTGGGTCCCTGGTCACATAGAGCACGCTGGGGACAAGGCCAAGTGGTCGGCGTGGTCTCAGATCCAGGAAAGGCCTCCCAGAGAACCGGGCGTTGGGTCAGGCAGGGCATGGCCAATACAGGCCAAGGTGGAGAGTATGAGTGACCAAAGTACTGGGTGACAGAAAGCCAGGGGAGGTGAGGCATACCCCTCAACAGCACCTGGGGGGGTGCCCACTGCATGCCTGGGGTCACCGCCAGCCTGGAAATCAGGCAATGGGCAGGGTCTGGCATGGCCCCTGCCTGCCGCAGCTTACACTGCAGCAGAGGCCAGAGCCCCCTGTCCATAAACCCACTGCCAGACAAGCCTTCCTACAAAACTGGCAGGGGTGGCTGACCCAGGACGCTCAGCCACCTCCTAACTGGGAGGACAGCCCTGTACCAAGCAGTAACAGCCCGAAGCTCCCTGCCTGCGGCGAGCTGGAGCAGGCGAGGTAAAGCCAGGGGCCTCGGTGAGGCCTGTGTGTGCTCAGCCCAGCATGTGAGGCGTGACACGCATGTGCCAGGTCAGTTCTAGCATCACTGAATGACGGAAGACAACACAGGGAAGCCCAGGAAGCACCTGCCTTACGGGTGGGTAGGCACCTGGCCTGGCAGTGAGGCTGCAGCCTTGGACGCCTGCAGCCCCCACAGCAGGGCCTGGGCGTGGGTCTCGGCTCTGCTTCCGATCTCAGGTACCCACTAGCGTGCACCCTGGTGGGAGGGGGAGGCAGCAGCTGAAGGTACAAGGTCCCTGCCAGGCCTACAGGAGACTCAGCCTGGGTTCCGGGCTCCCGGCGTCAGCGAGGCACAGCTCCAGACATTGCAGACACTGGGTGGGTGAACCAGTCAACAGAAGAGCTCTCCTTGTATCTACTGTTCTGCCATCACGTGGGAGACCCGGATGGAGCTCTGGGCTCCTGGCTTCAGCCTTCCCCAGCCCTCTGGCTGCCCCTCGGCGCTCGCTGTAGCCGCATCACTCTCACTGCTTCTCTTCGGACCAAGAATGTTTGATGCTCTCACCCGCTGGCCTCTAACCGAGCACGCGCTGTCCGGCTCCATGCCCGCCCGTCCCTCCAGATGCGATGACCAATGCAAGACCGTCACTCCCCAGGCCACCTCTGAATGCTGAGGGGACAAAAGGCAACAGAGCATGGCCCACAACAGGCTCCACCCCCTTGTTAGCTCTGAAGGGGACACAGAGTGTGACACCCCCTAAGATTACAAGGTGCTTCTCCTGAGTGGACATGAGCTACCGCAGGTGCACTGTAGACATTGTGGGTGCGTAAGACGGCTGAAGAAAAATGTGGAGTTCTGTGTGACGGGACACAGATGCGAGCCTTGGAAGCCAACCAGCACAGACAGACCCAAAGTCTTTCCCTTCATCAGTAACCTGGAGGGGCTGCTGGTCGCCAGGCCCCTGGGGGGAACTCAGAGAACCCCATTTGCCTGCACCAAGGGGACAATGACAAAGTCCTGGCAAGGAGTCATGGTCCAGGGAAGGTGCAGGCGGAGGAGGAAGAAGGCCGCACCCATGGAAGTTCCGGACCGCTGCACACTGGGCTCTCGGGTCATTACCGAGATGCCCGCCGGGTCAGTCGGATGCACCAGGAGTGTTCTACAACTTCTCTTCATCAAACTTGGCGAGGCTGCTGCCCATCGTTGCCGTCGTGATCATATTCATGACAGCGGGCACTCCTGCCTCTCCCACCACAGTGCCCACTCTACATCCGGCACCTGCTCCCTACTAGCCTACCCAGGGAAGGCAGCAGGGGAAGGCACGTGGGACACCCAGCCTGACCCAGCCCCAGCCACTGTGGTCACTTGGGGAGGGCAGCAGCCAAGGGAAGCCAGCTCTGCCCCATCCCCATTCTCATCTTTCTAGTAAATAAAGCAATAAACATTTGTAGAATGCGAGGGAAGTCACACGTGAATACAGGAAGACGGTCTGTGATATATGACTCTGATTTATCGCAGCTTTTCAAGTAAGTGAGAACCGCTGGTTGCCTGTAAAGCACCAGGGCCTTCGGGCGGGCCAACAGGCAAGGAGCACATGACCTTTGCAGCTAGTCTCGGGTCGGGGGAGACGGATGCCTCTCTTGGGCCATCGAGAAACAACCAGGACCCGTGCATTTTGTCACAACTAGAAAGGCATTATCTACGGGATGAATACAGGACAAAGACGAGCTGGGCCAAACACTTGGCCTCAATTCACAGTCCTTTTGGTGGCTGGCTGCAGCTGGAATCAGTACCTGTTCACAAGAACCTCTGGCATCAACTGTCCGCCGCTGGGGTTGCTGTGGGCTGGCTGGCAGCCTCTGGCCCAGGGCCCCATCACAGCCAAGGGCATCTGCTGCGGCAGACTGGTATTCAACAGTGACACCTGGTGGTGGGAACCGACACAACCGCGCTGGTGGGTGGCCAGCACTGGCAGGGTGGACACGGAGGACCCCTAGGGGGACCAAAAGGCCCTAGAACCGGTAGGAAAACCGTTGAGGCTGGAGGGAAGCAGGAAGTCTCAGGAGAAAGTCCACTGATGCCAGTGAACTGAGACAAACAGGTGTTCGTGGAATGAACTTGGAATAGTCCGGGAAAGATGATAATACACTGGAACCCCAAACTGATTCAACAACTCAGAGAGGTTACTGGATAACTCATAGAGGGACGCATAGAGATGGGCAAATGTAGAGTTAAATAACCCCAATTCTGCTATATACAAAATGTATACCCATCTGAGGGGAAGAATGATCCCAAAACGCAACACGGAAATCATGACAGCAGGTCCCTAGGGAACGAAGTTTGGGTAACTATTTTCAAATCTGTGTTCTAATTTATGTTGCAACAAATATGCTGTTTATGTTTTAAAAAAAAAAAATCAGAAGCAACACACTGGCCCCGAACCAAACATGCGTATGAAGCGCTGGTCCCCCACGTTCCCTGAGGGTGGCCACATCAGGGCGCGAGTCACCTGAGAACAAGAGCCCACGGCCTCAGCAGGTGCCCCTGGGCAGATTCAAGGCCAGGCAGCCCAGCCCCTTCGATCGGGCCCTGAACCTGGGACCTGTGGCGCTCCATTCTCACAGCCACGTTTGCCGCGCACGCACAGCGCCCACGGCCCAGCTCGGCCCACACGTGCCCGCAGCCCGCTCACCTGACAGGTGCACATGGCGGAGGCAGGAGAGCGAGGCATTGAGGCGGGCGCACTCCTCGCGGTTGACTCCGTATTTCTCCACGGTCTCACACACCTGCTCATCTGTCATTTCCAGCAGGTCCTCCAGGCTCAGCTGGCCGGGAGAGATCTCCTAGGGGAAGGGACAGAGCAGGCACATCAGGCGGACTCCAGGCACTCCCTGCTGTCCTATAGTGGTGACCTGGAGGGAACAGGGTTTGAGAGGGAGGGGCTGAATTCTGGGGTGGAGGGGACTCAGAGCTAGACCTGAACTTAAAGGGGGGGCCACTAAGAACATGAGTGGGACACAGAAAAGGCAGGATTCCCACTGCAGGTGTGGGGGGCTGGGGTCCCTTCACAGCTACCTGTAACTGCCCACCTGTGTCTACACCTAGGAGAACAGGTGCACCTCAACCATCCCCCAATGTCTATACAGACACCCTATGGGTTGTTTATAGATAATAAATGCAAACATACTCAAAGAGTTCTTGCAAAAAATAAGTGGAAAAAATATATCTGAGTGCATGCAGTTTTTTTCATCATATTCATTTCCATGAACTCTTGGAGACCCTGTGGATGCAGAGTTTGGAAACAGTGTGTGTGTGTGTGTGTGTGTGTGTGTGTGTGTGTCTCCAGAACTTCCTGGGCCAGCACTGTTTTTGAGGTCTGTTATTTCCACACTGAGGGCTGTCAGTGGTGACACACTGTAATTCTAGGCCAGACTGTGGAGTGCCACTGCCCTCTTGTGGCCACGTCTGTGTATGGCAACAAAACGCAGGTCAGTCAAAAGCACAAGATTTCTCTGCAAAACAGGAGCCCCCTCTGCTCGGTCAGTGCCTTTCCAACTCGACAAACCAGAGGTATTCTCCAGCTGGGACACAAAACAGGGAGCCCCCGGCCCTGCAGGTGTAAAAGAAACCCCATTTTGAGGGGGACGATTCGCAGCGAGAAGGACTTGCCATTCTGCTGTAGGATTCACTTGTGTGCCTGAACATCACACCTTAAAAATATTTTTAGTCTACACTGAAGCTTAAGGTTGCAAAACCATCCCCCAAATGATGTTTTTATGACATTAAAAAATGCAGAAAGCCTGAACAAACCCAGGCCATATAAGCAGCTGGTCTTTTGCTGGAGGTCACGGGCATTGGGGTTCACCCCAGCAGCTCACACACAGCAAGGGATGCCTGCACCCCAGATGTCCCAGCTGCTCCACTTCCCATCCAGCTCCCTGCCCGTGGCCTGGGAAAGCAGTCGAGGATGGTCCAAAGCCTTGGGACTCTGCACCCGCGTGGGAGACCCAGAAGAAGCTCCTGGCTCCCAGTTTCAGACTAGCTCAGATCTGGATGTTGTAGTCATTTAGGGGAGTGAACCAGCACATGGAATATCTTTCTCTATGTCTCTTTTTCTCTCTGTAAATCTGCCTTTCCAATAAAAATAAATCATTCAGAATAATAATAATAATGGTATTAACAGCACTGGTTTAAGGGCTTTTCATGGATGTTCTTTCAGTGTCACAAAGATTATAGAAAGGAGGTGTGAGTGTGTGTGTGTGTGTGTGTTACTACCACCTGCAAACTAAGAACATTTAAATCCAGGGGAGGGGTGGGGCTAGACCAGTCACTCAAGGTCACACAGCAAGAAAGTGGAGGAGCCGGAGTTGGGCGCCAAGCTGTGTCTCCCAAGCCTTCCCGGATCCCTGTTCCTTGGCCGAAGGGGGCCCTCTGGTGGACACCTGCGTGAACCGCAGCCCGAGAGCCGCATCTCCAGCTGACTCAGCCACTGGCCAGTGGCCTCAACCAGTGCCTGCAGGCCAGGTCAACGCCAAGCAGCCAAGCAGTGAGCTGGGCTGTCCCGGCCACCGCCCACAGACCAGAATTCAGCTCTTTCTGGGCAAAAACTCACTTTTCAAATGAACCCAGAACGCTGGACTTTTTCTTTTTTTTTTGCAAGCTCTTTCAGATTTTAAAATTCTGCTCAGAATACATGCTTGCAAACCACAGATTTTCCACCCCTGGCTGCTATGCTCCCCAAATGTCCTCAACTCCCCTCCCAGCGGGGGCCGGAGCTGGGCACCAGGAGCTCAGCCCAGGTCTCCTTCAGATGCCTGGGACCTCGCGGCATCTGCCTGAGCAAGAGGTGGGGACCGATCCCAGCCCCTCGGGTGTGGGACTCAAGCACTGTGGCTGGCATCTTCAGCGCTGGGCCACGCGCCTCCATCCTTGCGGGCAGCCCCAATACAGGAGCGCCACAGCTGGGTGTCACTGTTGGTGACAGCAGCAGTGACCACGACAAGCTGGCATCGCCGAACACCACAAGGTGCCCAACACGGCTGAAGCTGAAGTCCACTGACACTGTGACAATTCAAACTTCCAATCACACACACACTAACCTCACGTGCTCCATAGACACACGTGGCCGGGGGCTACGATGCTGCACAGCACAAAGTTCTACTGGACAGCACTACTTTAGACAGCGAAGTGTCTGGGCCTCAATGACCTTATCACTCAGCAGGCAGCGCTGCAAGGCCCTCCACCCTAGAACTACAGCCCCGCAGGCCTGTTGGGACAGCAGCAGGCACCGGCGTGCTGCCAGTAGCAGGTGTTTCCTGAAGAGGAGGGGGCATGCTGGGCACAGTCAGGGGAGTCACGGGACAGGGTTGGTGGGGGGGGGGGCGGTATCTGTCGGGTGACAAGGGGCACAAGGGCCCAGGGCCACTTCCAGTCACCTCCAGGACCTCCTTGCGCACGTCCACGATGCGGAACCAGTGTCGCAGCTGGGGGAAGCCGTCCAGCTCGGCGTTGCGCTCCTGCAGGGCGACCTTCTTCTTGCAGGACAGCTGCCGGCTGAAGTACTTGACCAGCTTGCTCTGTGGGGACACAGACGGGGTCAGAGGCGTGGCCGCACGGGGTGGGAGCCAGCAGTTCTTTTCCGCCTATCCCCACCCCGCCCCCGGCCCACCCAACTCCAGTTCAGTGACAAGGAGACCTGGGTAGGGCTTGGAGTGTGTCCCCCGCAGAGTGTTCGAGGGCTGGAAGCTTGGACCGGCTTGGTCCAGGTGATGGGACTGACAGGTAAAGGATCTTTAAGAACCTTCTAGAAGGCCATAACGTCATGGAGGCATCTTGCTTAGGATTCCTTCATACAGGACTCGCAAGACCCAAGTTCATTTTCACGAGAACGTATGTCAGGCCCTGGCAGCTGCTCTACCACTCTGTGACACAGCCAGGGGAGCCTAACCAGGACCCCACTGCCATGTTTTGCATTTTCAGCCCCCAGAACCATGAGTTGAGTAAATTCTTTTTTATCAAGCACCCAGCCTTGAGTACTTTGTTACAGCAACACAATGCAAGCAAAAACCGCGGTGAGCGAGCAGGCCGGCTCCGGCGCTGGCTGGACTGGGCTGTGTTCACTGGCTGGGTATGGGGTGAGCGGCATGCCACGGGGAGACCCCACAACTGCACCTCCACCACGCACTCCACAGACACCCCTCCTGTGAGGTCATCCCTGCGCCGAAGACATTCTTTCCCATTGCAGTGGCAAAGGACCACGAGAATCCCGTGACGGTCAGCGGGACGACTGCACGACGCCCTGGCCACACGAGGGCGCTCTCTGCGGCTGTGAGAATGATGGAGGGAGCACGCAGTGGACAGCTCCAGGACCGACCCCGGGACACGCTGCTGAACAAAGATCCATGCTCTGCCCCATGAGCGCAAAATGTCCCCTGAGCCGTAACAGCCAAGACCCTCTGGAAGGATTCTAATCTCCCAGGGAAGGGAAGAGGCTTAGTGGGGAGGAAAGGGAGGTGAATTTATTATTTAAACCCTTTTGCAAGCTGGTACCAGGGCACAGTAAGAAGAGCTTTCTTCCTATAGTACCAGCATTCCACACGGGCACTGGTTCATGTCCTAGCTGGTCCACTTCCCATCCAGCTCCCTGCCTGTGACCTGGGAAAGCAGTCGATGAAGTCCCAAAGCCTTGGGACTCTGCACCCATGCGGGAGACCCAGATGAAGCTCCTGGCTCCTGGCTCTGGATTGGCTCAGCTCCAGCCATTGTAGTCATTTGGAGAGGGAAGCAGCAGATGAAAGATCTATCTCCCCTTTTCTCTGCAAACCTGTCTTTCAAATAAAAATAAATCTTAAAATGCACAAGTATTTACACATGGATGAATACTTTTCAGATGAGATGGGCCTGCAGCTCTGAATGTTTCAGCCAGGTACAGGATCTGGCTCCTGGCTGGTACAGACTCTGGCAGGCAGCGGTGGTGGCTCCAGTTCTGGGCTCCTGGCACCCATCTGTTCTCCCTCTGCTTTGCAAGCAAATGACTTTTCTTGCGAGATGCCCTCCCTGCCACAGGGATCACAGGAAGAAAGGGGAGCATTCTAGGCTGAGTTGAGGGGTTCCAATGTCACAACCAAAGTCAGGCAGGTGCAGAAAGCTGCCCCCAACCCCAGGCAGAGGGCAGTGCCAGTCACTAGGGTGAGTCTTACCCACGTACATTTATTCTGTTTCCCCTTGGTGCTGCCACTTGCTAGAATTGGCTGCCACCATTTGAAAGTAAGAAAATTTCCCACGAAATGCTGATTTTCTGGCATCTCCATGTCAAGTTCATGGACCTACGTTGCAGGCCCAGAAGAAGGTGCAGTGCGGAGTGGGCTGGGCCCCTGGGGCAGCACAGAGCCCCATTTTCTGTCCCCTGGGGAAAAGCCTGGATCGTAAGAAGAACAGCAATGGAGGAAGGGCGCTTTCTGAAACCTCCCTGAAGCCTCTTATCATGAAGGGACAGCAAAATTCTAACCACTGTTCCTCCCCGAGTCTCACTTCTCAGGACCCGTGTCGTGCGTGTGTGTGACACAAGCTGGGAGACTGCCTGGCTTCTGCAGCAACCCTTTGTGGTTTTTCAAGGCGTGAGGGGAATGTGGAAAATGTGCATTAATGGAAAAGCTACATTTCAGTAAGTCGTAGCACGTTACGGGATGGAATACCACATCAACTTTTAAAAAGCAGAGAAGGTTGATTTGAGTAACTTTCCAAGAGGCTCATCTCCCGTAAACAGCCAAACAACAAAGACACGGCATAATAGGATTGCACGCCTCTGTCTGAGAACTCGGCCGGGTCCGTAAGGCACATTTCTAACCCAGAGGAAGGTATCTGGCAGAGTGAAGCAAACAGATACACATACTAGAACATGGGGGTAGAGGGGGGCTTTGTCACGTCCCACGCACAATTGTTTTAGTGCTTCCAACAAGCACACATCTGCTTCTTCCATTTTCAGAATTTTCTTTTAAACACACCTTTTTTATTTGTGTATTTGAAAGGTAGGGTCGCAGAGATCTCCCACCCTCTGATTTAATCCCCAAATGGAGGCTGGAATTTAATCTGGGTCTCCCAGGTGGATAACAAGGAGCCATGATGGGCTTGAGCTGTCACCTTCTCTGTCTTCTGAAGCGCACACTAACAGGAAGCTAGAATCAGGAACGGAGCTGGGACTCGAACCCAGAGGCTCTGAGGAGAGAGAAGCAGGTGTCTTCAGCACTGTAGCAAACACCAACCCCAGGAAGTTTTCTTAAGAAAATTAAAGCCTTGCTTAGTGGAAGGTCCCTGTCCACACTGTCCACACACCTCACCTTTGGCTCAACATGTCTTTGTGAAGTATGAACCGCACTTACACCAGACATTGGGCTCGAAAGAATCAACCACACTTTCTGGCACTTTCCAAATGCGGAAGCAAGGCCAATCCTGAATAATTTCTGGACACAGTTTAGCCAGGCAGCCTGAACTATCAGATACCATGCTTCACACTTTTGGCGCTGCTGTAACAATACCCAAGGCTGGGGGCTTTATCAGGATGTGCTCCCACTTCCAGAGGCCCCCTGTGCTCAACCTCTGTTCAGGGTCACGGGGCAGGAGGCGTCACAGCAGAGAGTATGGGAGGCAGGGAGGCAACCTGCAGATCAGAGGAACTCGAACCAGCTTTTGCAGGAACTAACCAGGTCCTAGGAACTTCAACCCCTGCCAAAGGTGATACCCACGGTGGCATTCCGGCCTCCCCAGACCCCACTGCCGCCAATGCGACCACATCAGAGGCCAAGCTTGCAGCACAGGAACCTCCAGGAGACACACGCCCACACTTCCAAACCATGGCTGTGTCTCTTCCCGGGACTTGATAGGACAGAGGACCCTCATGTGATCACAGCTCCCTGACTGTGGAAACACGTGCAGTTGACAGCAGAACGCGTCCTCGGATCCTGAGTAAATGCCCTCGGGCTCGCCGGGCTGTGGTCCCCAGGCTTGACTCCGCTTCTCAACAACCTCCAGTGAGTTTCCAAGTCTGCTTTTCTCACCGGGAAGTGAAGGCTAAACCACACACACACACACACACACACACACACACACATCACAGCATCGTGACGAGATTAAGAATGTCTCAGAATGGCGCAGCCACAGGGCAGAGCAGGTATCAGGGACAGTCACTAGCACCTCCCGAGGAGGCCGAGGAGGGGAACTGCCCCAAATACACTGACTACCAGCATCCAGAAGGAGGATTTTTAGAAAAATCCAAAACTAATTAGCTTTGAAATCAACAATATGGTGAGGACATTTGGGGCAGGGTTAGTTAAGACATCACTTCGAATGTCCACACCCCTCCGTAGACTCTCACACCCCTGGCAGATGAAGACATCGGGCCCGGAGAAGGTAAGCCATCAGGTCACCATCACAGCAGCCGCCAAGTGCATTCAAGTCCGAGTCTCGGCCCCAAACCTCACTGTTGCACCAGAGTGTCATGAAGGCAGAGGTTAAACACAGCTGGGGATGCCTTCATCCCCTCCCAGGCCGTCTCAGCTCCAGTCCCAGACAGTTTCTTGCTAAGGGGCAGTGTGGTGGGAAGGCAGCATCAATGGCTCAAGCAGCTGGCTCCCTGCCACCCACAGGGGAGACCTGGAGGGAGTCTCAGCTCCTGGCTTCCTCCTGGCCCCACCCCAGCTGTTGCAGGCATTTGGGTGTGTGTGTGTGTGTGTGTGTGTGTGTGTGTGTGTGTGTGTGTGTGTGTGTGTGTGTGTGTGTGTGTCTGAAACAACACGGGGATTAACTACCTCTCTGCCTCTCCAATAAGTAACTTCGCATCCCTGTTTCATTTTTTCATTAACATTCTGTAGTGCCCTCATATGGTATCTTTGCTTCTTTTAGGAAGAACATTTCAGATGCCGGCCCAAGCTCCTGTCCAGCCCATCACAGCAGGTGATGGGTCGTCCGTCCCCCTCCCCCCGTGACGCTCCCACCGGCCACCCCGGCCACCTGCCTGTGCAGGTGTGTCCCTGCGGAAACCCTCGGTGCCTGGCTCCACCCACCTCAGCCGCATCACAGGCAAGACTTTCCGGTGCCATCTGCCTTGCTCACCCGGCAGTGCTCCTGGGGGAGCTTCCCCTGTTGGCCTGACTGGACATTGCCACCTAAGCCTGCTCAATGACCCCATGGGACAAAGGAGAAGATTTAGGCTCGGAAAGGCTCCACAATTTACCCAAAGCCACAAAGCTTCTGAACGCCACATTTTGGCGGGGCTCTAGTCAAACCAACTCCTCTTCATCGACAATGAACTTCAAGGTCTTATGCCAAGTGAAATGACATAGCACAGTAGGAAATATGGAATCACAAGGGGGTGGTGGTGGCTTCTGTCTGTGGTGCCAGCATATGGGTGCCTGTGTGAGACCCATCAGCTGCCTGCTTGTGGCCTGGGAAAGTAGCTGAGGCCCAGCCCAAAGCCTTGGGACCCTGCACCCATGAAGGAGACTCAGAAGCTCCTGGCTCTTGGCTTTGGATCAGCTCAGCTCTAGCCATTGCAGAAATGGGGGGAGTGAAGCAGTGGATA